TCAGTGGGTGTAGGTGAAAATCTACCCTTTGTCACACACACACACACACACACACACACACACACACACACACACACACACACACTCAGGAAACAACATGGATCAGTGTTCATGATCTTTGAGATCTGAGCTGAGGCGCCTCAGTGCACGAGTGTGTGCACGAGTGTGTGCACAGCAGAGACAATGAACGGTACGGTTCATTCAGCTCTCAGGACAAAAAGCTCTTTGTGGCGACCACAGAGGTCAGGTGACCCCCGTCAGCCAATCAGAGAGCAGAGCTGCTTTAAACAGATTCATTTCATTTTAGCTTCACACACACACACACACACACACACACACACACACACACACACACACACACACACACAGAGGAGGATGATGATGATGTCCTTCCTCCTCTTCCTCACCTCATGATGAAGTCGTGTCCATCGATGGCGGCTCCGTATCCGGCCTCCCGCAGGTTTCCTGAGTTCCCCACCACGGCGCAGCGCAGGCAGCGTCCAGGATCCCAGGAGCCGTACGGAGACCGTCCAGGGATCACCTGAGACAGAGGGACCGGATCAGACCGGACTCAGATGGGACCAGAACCTGCAGCTCAGACCTGACTGAGAAACCTCTGAAGGATCTGGTTTGAAACCAGTTCAAAGAGTCAGAAATACCTGGAAGAGTCTGAGCAGAACCTGCTGGATGTTGTGAGGTTTGAACTGTGGCTGCAGCATCTGAGGAAGAACCAGAACCAGAGGTCAGATGGGGTCAAAACTACGGACCAGTTCAGATTTTTACCATTTGTCTTTGTGGTAACACTTTATAATAACTACACCTTATTTAGCCTCAATTAATCATTAATAAAGGCTTAATTAACCTTGAAAACATTGTTAATTAAGGATGATTCAGACTTAATAAGCTCTGAATTAACACATTTATTAATGTTTTACCCATAAAGGCTAAATACGTCTAAAACCAACATACTCATTGTTTACACATGCTTAATAACTCATGAGTTAACTATTCTACACACTATATATATATATATGGTAAATGGTAAATGGTACTGAACTTATAGAGCGCTTTTCAAGTCCCTCCGGACCCCAAAGCTCTTTACACTAACAGACATTCACCCATTCACACTCACATTCACACACTGATGATGGTAAACTACACTGTAGCCACAGCTGCCCTGGGGCACACTGACAGAGGTGGGGCTGCCATGCACCGGCGCCACCGGACCCTCTGACCACCAAATAAGTAAGTAAGTAAGTAAGTAAGTCAGTAAAGTAAGTAATTAAGTAAGAAGTAAGTAAGTAAGTAAGTAAGTAAGTAAGTAAGTAAGTAAGTAAGTAAGTAAGTAAGTAAGT